GCAAAACTACCCTAACACCCGCTTTCGGTATAAAACATAAATTTTACTATTACAAATGATAGTAATATTTCACATGGCACACTCTATATACATACATGCATACATACATACATACTCACACACACACGCAAACAAACAAACGCACACTTTCAGGTGAAGTCCCAAACAATTTGTCCCAACGAAATTTTCCAATAAATCACATAATTATGTTTGCAGCCCGGATTCTCCGGATTATGCAATGCAAGCTGCAGGTTCACCATCAAATCAACTTTTTTTACCTTAGGTTAACAACGTGGAAAAGTTTGAGGTAACAAACAATACACACTTACACACATGTACACACGCACGCACGCACGTACGCATGCACGCACGCACGCACGCACACAGACAAGACAACCTGCATATGTTTACCCTGCATATATATATGCGCCCGCGACAGATAGACTCTTCCATTAAGCTCAACTTACACAAAAATATATCGTATGCGTATATACGTATAGTAAGATATATCTACTGGTCTTAATCGAACGTTAGCTCAGCTTTGAGCAACAAATCTTGAAAGATACCGGCGAAAGACGATACCTCAACGTACGAGCACAGCTCTCCCATTGCACATTTCTATAGGCTGTAAAACTGTATAGCAGATCTACCAGAGATGCTTTAATACATGATATTTTATAGAAAATAAATGCGCATGCGACATGCATTAGTTCTAGCCAACTAACAACACTAAGGGATTCTATGTGCTGTGAGCGCTAGCAAAATTGCGAGTGTTGCGCTAGACACCTCGTTTCATAAATTCACGATTCACGTTATTGGCATTATCAACGAACAAATTCATCGTTCAACGGTTTGACAATGACACAGCTATCACAAGAATATATCTTAACTTTACCGGCGACTGTTTATTTGAGAGTTTTAGAGGCGGGGCGTAACTAACGTATCGCGCGTCTCTTAGTCCATGAGGTCCCAGCTAACACAAAAACGTTCACATAACGTTATGTTTTGGTTTGGATAACGTTTTACACCAACGTTATAATTACGAAATTGTGTCGGGTTTTTATAACGTTTTTATAACGTTAAAAAGAACGTTTTCCTAACGTACGAAAATAATGTTCTTGTGCGTGGTTCTGATAACGTTAAAAAACGACACAATTACGTTAATGTAACGTTTGTATTTACTTTACTATT